AACAGTGTTGTTGCAAAACAAGGGTTTGTAGATCAAAAGTATTTACTAGAGGCCAATGAGTCACAAGGACGTCAGAGAGATCTTTTTCAATGTTAGAGCTGTCAATTTACTGGTGAGATGTTAAGGTCGTTGAAGCTTGTTCAGTTAAATGCTTTATATATAAATATGATAAAGTTGTGTGAAAGAAGACGGTACAATAGTCTAAGAATGTTTATATCGCGAGGGTCTAGGAGCCTTGCTAGCAGCCTTCTCTAGGTAGGAGGTGTATATGTAGTTGATATGACAGAGAAAAAATAGGTCTTTAATCGGTAAATTAGACACCCGAAAATTAGAAAGGTGGAGTCCACGAGGTAAGAGTTCGACCCTACAGACACACAGTAAATGCATATATATACATACAGAACGCTGAGCACCGTAACAGGTTGCTGTACCTGGCCCCTGGCCGAAATAGTTACAGAAGGCGTTATGGAGCTTCCAAGCTACTAGGTGGGTGTGGTAGTGGGTTTAATGTCCAGTAGTGAAGTATGTGTTTTTAATACATACTGACACTTGCTCATACTTCACATTAATAGAAATAAACTCTCTATTAATATTGTGGAAGTGACTTGTGAATTATTTGTGTGTGAGGCGGCCTCATGTCAGGTGAGGTGAATGACGTCACAGGTAGTTGACCCATCAGGCCAAGCTAGTCAAGAGGCGCGGCGGGCAGTGTGGCGCGGGCCGGCGTGGGGAGAGGTGCTGCTCAGCGCCCGCCTCATTGGTTTTACTAAATTAGTCACCTGGACAGTCCTGTGCATGAGGTTACCTGCGCCAGGCTTACAGGCAAGTTACCCTAGATCAGTTGTTTTATCACTGTGTTCTGTTGGTAGAATAGTCTATATTTGCTGATTGTCTAAATAAGAATAGTTAAAAGATGTTAAGGCTTTATTTAAAGTAATTCAATTAGCTCTGGGTTACTCATTTGTAAATATAATGATATTGAGAAATATACTTGTTTATTAGTAGACTTTTATCTGGATTAGGACTTTCGATGATTATTAAAACAAAATTCTACTTTAAAACGATTGTTATGTAATAAACTGTTCCACAACAGCTGCTCGAGTGTCAACTTTATAGTAAAATTTACTGTTTGATAAAAAATAGGTGAAAAAAGTTTAAAAAATTATAGTTAAATTCAAGCAGTTATGTTTCTTGTGAACTATCGGATTTCAATCCTTGAAATATGGACCAAAGACTTTTAATCTAGCAAGCGTCACATCCCCCCCCCCCGGACCATCCTATGTGAATGAAACTAACCATCCTGAGTCAGTGTCGTCCACGCTGCAGCCAACCCCAGAAACGCCATAATTAACATTAACGTCCTGTATAACCAAGTACTATATTGTGTCCAATATAAGTAAATATTAATGTATATTTAAATTGTGTATAGGTCTGATAGTTGTTGAAGGAAACAATAGCACGTGAGTGTATTACAAACTGTCTCCCTCCCCTAATAAATAATATATAATAGGTCACAAATCAAAAACTCTTAAGTACAGTGTTAAAATGTAAACTGTTGTGGGTCGGTGCAGGAACGAGCATAGACTGAGGACAAGTTAAATGTACTCGCCTAGTTGTACTAGCCTAGTTGTGTTTGCAGGGGTTGAGCTCTGGCTCTTTGGTCCCGCCTCACAACCGTCAATCAACTGATGTACAGATTCCTGAGCCTACTGGGCTCGTGTCATATCTACATTTGAAACTGTGTATGGAGTCAGCCTCCACCACATCACTTCCTAGTGCATTCCATTTACTAACTACTCTGATGCTAAAAAAGTTGTTTCTAATGTGTGTGTGTGTGTGGCTCATTTGGGTACTCAGTCTTCACGATCATAATGGGAGCCGGTCGGCCGAGCGGACAGCACGCTGGACTTGTGATCCTGTGGTCCTGGGTTCGATCCCAGGCGCCGGTGAGAAACAATGGGCAGAGTTTCTTTCACCCTTTGTCCCTGTTACCTAGCAGTAAAATAGGTACCTGGGTGTTAGTCAGCTGTTACGGGCTGCTTCCTGGGGGTGGAGGCCTGGTCGAGGACCGGGAAGCGGGGACACTAAAGCCCCGAAATCATCTCCCGATAACCTCAAGATAGATCATGTTTGGTTGCCGGGCCCCCCCTCCCTGTTTCGCTCGTTGTTGCCGTGAGGGGGGGGGGGCTTGGTGGGCGGCTGCCAAAGTGTGATGCTCCTTGGGACAGTCCTATGTCCTTCTGTGGCCTTGTGCTCCTGCTGCTGTCCTCTCTAATTGTGCTGAATGATTTTTCCTTTTCCTTCTGCTTCGTTTTTCTCCCCCCTCTTCTCTTATCTGCTTGTGGTTTCCTGCCGACCTTTTGCTTATTTTGGTTATTCCTTTGCACTTCTTCTATTTTGACGTCCGGGAGCTTGAGGAGGCATACTCTTGCACCCATAGAACTGTAGTACCCAACGTCTCGAGCGAGGGGAACCTTTTATTGTCAATCCCCTTTTTGTCACTGAACCCGGTCGGGACGAACTGACGGTTCTTAAGGTGGCGTTTGTCGGGCGTATACTCACGACCGACAACGAGTATACTCACGACCGACAGTCATACCCTGGCATGATCGGCGATAACTTCTAGTTGGGTGTCCTGCCTCTAATTGTGGCTCCATGGTGGGTATGGTGCACATTCGTGGATGAAATTCTCTTCGTATTTGTCGTTGAATGTTTCTCTTGTACTCTTTCAGGCTCGTGAGGTGGGCGACCAAGCCCCCGAGTCGGACTGTATTGGAAGACAGAGCTCTGTATCCCCCACTGTGTTGGACCCCGACCTTGCTCCTCCTTTTGACCCTCCTGACTGCTTCCCTCGGCTGCCCTCCCTCCTCTGTGGTTGTGTCTAGCCTCAAGCCCCCAGTGGTGACCACTTCGTCCCTGCGCAGCTAAGTCTCTCGTTGTGACTACTGCGTCTTTTCACCCCTCTCTCTGGGGGTTCTCAACGCCGTCTGCGCCACGGCCGCACTCGCTCAATCCCTTTCCGTACTGATGCGTATCAGGCCTTGTTTGGTCACGCTTCATGAGCCAAATTCCTTGATCTCCTCCATCTTGATTCTACGCCTCCTGACGACTTCTCCCTCCCACAGCAACTTGTTGATTCTGTGGATGCCTCTTACCTTCAACTCCACTCGTCTCGGTACACGTGTCTTTGCTGCTCCTTCTCGGGATGCAGCTTCCCACTTGGCTGCCCTATCCTGCCTTGGCGTGACCCCTGTTCGGGTCTCGAAGAACGCTCGGTTGAAAGCCAGTGTTGGCACTATTCTTCTACTGCCCCATGTTGCTACCGGTGTTTTTTAATCTGCAGGACTGCCACGATGATATTCGGCATACCCTCGATGCCCAAGGCCATTCTGTCCTCCAGGTTGACACGTTTACTCGTCCCCTCGTGGTCGTCGCCGTCAACCCCTTCGGGTTGTGAAGATTACCTTTGATGGTAGGACCCTTCCACCTTCTGTCATTCTTGCTGGTGCCAGGTGCTCTGTCCAGGAGTATATTCCTTCTCCTAGGCTCTGTAACAAGTGCTGGGGGTTTACACATGGTGCCTTCCACTGCTCTGGGGCGCTCTCTCTGTCCTTTGTGTTGGGGCGAAAGTCAATCATAAGTCAATCATAAGTCGGAGTGCACTTCTCCCCAGGCTCGCAGCGTAAACTGCTGTGAGGCCCATCCTACCTTCTCCCGTGCGTGTATCCATTACAAGTTTGAGGTAGGTGTCCTCAACTTGAAGCACCGGGAGCATTTATCTTTTCATGATGTGAGGCGCCATGTTTGCCGGCTCCCGCCTTATGCTCGCGTGTTGCACTATTCCTCTCCTCGTCCTTCCCACCTTCCTCAGACTCGGCCGTTTCCGGGCCTTGGACCCTGATACGCCCACTGCCCCCTCCTCTGTTTCTTTGAGTTCTGTACCGAAGGATCCCCCTCCTGGTCCTCTGTCTGGGGTTTCCCTTCTTTCTACCTGGTCTGTCATGTCTCCTGTCTTCTTCCTCGTCTCCCTCCGATCCTCCTTCCCGTCCTTCTCCTCCGTCTATTAACTCTCCCCGCTGCCTGTCAGTGCGGGCTCATGTAGTGCCCTCATGGCTCTCGGGCCCTTTAATCTGGTTCATCCAATGGTTGTCGAGATCGAACATTGGCTGTTTCTTGTTCACAGTAAATTTAAGTTGGCTGAGTTTTGTTGAGGTCCCAGCCATATTGGTGTCAGTTTAAATAAGCGTGCGGATGCAGCTGCCAGGAAAGCTGTCCGTTCTTGTCCCATCTCTCGTAAAGCAATTCCTTATTCAGACGTTTTTACCCGGTTATCCATTCCCCCATCCTTACCCGTTGGCATGCTTGTTGGTCGTCTGTTACTGGTAACTACGTTCTCTTAAGTTGTACTCTTAACCGTCCTACCTCCTTAACCGGCGATGGGAAACGGCCCTGGCGATATTGCGTATTGGCCAAACTCGTTTCACTCATGGTCACTTAGAGCGCCGCCCTGCTCCTTATTGTCCTAATTGCATTGTCCCTCTTATGGTCGTGCATATCCTTGTTGAATGTCCTGATTTTCGGGACGAGCGTGTCTCTTTTTTTTCCGACTGTCCCCCGAGGTCGCTTGTCTCTCGATATTATTCTTGGTGACTCTGATTCTTTTGATATCGTTCGCCTTGTGTGTTTCTGTTCTCGTATTGGCATAATTGGTGATATTTAGCGCCCTCTGATTATCCCGCACATTTGATGGTGCTACATAGCCTTCCCGGTTTGGTGCCTTCTTTTGATAATTACTTACTTGGTTGCCGGGTTGACGATCACTTGGACGTTGTGTTGAGAACGGGCTGTGGATGAGTCAAGTCTGAGATTGGGTTTTACCATTCGGTGGTAAGTCAGCAATTTAGATGAAATCTGACCCAAGTGATTGTCTTGCGGGATGTTTCTCAACCTTTACAAGATGTCCAATTTAGTATTTTTATATATTTAATGTGACATTTCAGGTATGTACGAGGGTGCATCAGTACAACGGCACTGCAGGTATGGTCAACCAGACCCCAAGAAATTGGTCGGTTACAACGCTACTGCAGGTATGGAGGGATTAAAGTTACTTGGAAAAACTTCTCTCGAATCGCAGTTGGTCATTATGTAGTAGATACATATTCCCACCTAAGTACAATAGGTGAAGGAACTACGTTTAATAATTTTAATAGCTTACACACTATGCCTTGAAGCAGTGATCCTCTAATAGTTATAGTCTAAAGTACTCTATGCGTTAACCACTTCAGAGTGATAAACCATTCTTCAGGCCCTTAATTTTAACATTTAGTTGTGGTTTATTATATAGTTAATGTTAAGCTAACAATTTCGGTTACATTTCAATCCCCTCCTCTCCGTCCATATTTGTTAGTCTGTCTTCTATCCCACCAGTCCAATCATATATATATGTATATATATATATATATATATATATATATATATATATATATATATATATATATATATATATATATATATATATATATATATATATATATATATATATATATATATATATATATATATATATATATATAAAATACCCAAGAGGGTGATACATCTGCTGGGATTAGGGGAGACTGGCAAGAAGAAAGTTTTAGCGTGAGGGGAAAGTACCGGGGCTAAACCTAGCAAGCTGAATATACCGTCGGACAGTTTCGGGAGGCTGAGCACTTGCAGCTACGTTGCCATCATCTGCATCGTGCACAAGGTATTGGTAGCCCTTGAATGCTGTAGCAATTCTGCAAATCGACAAATATTGTGATCAGGCGGCAGGACCTGTGAAGTGTTAAAAGGTGAACGTTTCTGGGTCTCCGGAACGGGGTAACGTTGTGTTACTGATTTGTAAGTGCAAAGTATCTTTTGATTGGGGAAGAAAATATTATATAATTGGCGGAGCTTCCATGACCACAGATAACGGCCTTAAGAGCAGGACACTAATTACTTCCATTTTTTCTCCAAGCTAACAAAGAAGGCTCCGAAGGAAGCAAGTTCTAGGTCGGAAGTTCGCCGATCGTTTCCTTCATCTAAGACTAGAGCTTGTTAACTTCCTTTCGGATGCTTCCTGAAGCTGTAGGAATATATAACTTAGAACCATCCTCTATTGACTGGATGTTTGTTCCCGAACAATATTTTGTTGCTGGAGAGGAGCCAGTTTCTTGGCAGCTTCTCCTATGGTATATTCTGGGCAGCCTCTTACTTTAAGGACGCCCCAGAGCTCCTACAAGGCTTTCCCCAGATTATTCTGGTCACTAAATATACCTTTGACTCAGATTCTCGGAGAAAGATGGGTCACTTCAGAGAAACCGGGTGGTAGGATGGATATAAAAGTGAAGGTTTGAGTCCTTGTAATAAACCTTTATAGGAGTCTTTCTCAGTCTATACATGTATACAATATATATACATAAGTACTTAGTAAGGGAAGCTCCTCCATGCGGGTCTAGATGGTAAATTTCATGTCTGGGTGAACTCTGCCACTTCATTGACGACTTGAAATTAGTAATGCAGCCTGTCCTCTTAAAAGCCAAATGCTCGTTTCCGGCATACCGTTCTCGGGCCAGGCTCGTAAGTGACTCGTTACACCCCCCCCCCCTCCTCAGATCCATTTATCGATATTTTGCAACAACTTGGAAACTAGTATCAACCAAGTTTGGAGCAACCTCCGGCCGGAGCAAGGTAAGTCACAGGGAGCAATTAAAAACTAAACTCTCGCTCTCTTTTAGGTACCTCCATCTCGACAAACCAGTCCAGTGCCCAAACTACAACCTAGGCCTTAAACTGGTAATCCAGCAAATGAAGGTAGACCTCAAGCGCGGTGCGGAACGACGACGCAACTGCAATCTCACAAGGGAGGAGAGGGACGCCCTATCAACGCTGAAAGGACGCACGGATATTGTGATAAAGCCGGCGGATAAGGGAGGTGCTGTCGTCGCCTGGAGGAAGGACAACTACAGGAACGAGATGAAGAGGCACCTGGCAGACACTGCAGCCTACAAACAGATACACAACCAGGATGCGGCACTTAGAAACGCCCAAACGAGGAGTAAAAGGATAGTCCTGAAGCTGTTCGAGAACAAGACTGGGGACGGGAAAGGAGGACTCGTGCAGGCAGGGGCGAGAGATTTCTTCCTAGCCTTTGAATCCATCATTCCCCACCTCTACCTTTTACCAAAGATCCATAAAGCACTAGAAGAAACAGGAACGTGGCAAGGGAGACGGGTTCTAAGCAGCTGCCAGGCCCCAACAAGGCCAGTAGACTGGATCTGCACCGCCCTCCTGAACCCCTTACTACGTCTACTACCAGAAAGAATCAAAGATATGACGGATTTCCTCAAGAAAATTGCAGAAATTAGAGGCCCCGTCCCAAGAGGGGCCCGCCTTTTTTCCATGGATGTGGTATCGCTCTACCCGAGCATACCACAGAGAAGCTGCAAATGTGGTAGCAACTTTTTTTTTTTTTTTTTTTTACAGATAACAAAGCAAAAATCAGAGAAACTTAGAGACGCAGGAGTATGGAGGACCCCTCGAAAAACTCTGTAGGAGGCCATCCTCCATGTGATGAGACACCCTTTTGCAATTTGAAGGATGAGCATACCGGCAAAACAAGGGTACAGCGATAAGAGCATCCAGTAGTGTGGCAATCGCTGAAATATTTGTGCATGTAGTGTTTGAGAGGAAACTATCCCACAGGAAGGACGGACCGGCGGTATATTTGTTACATAGACGACAGCTTCGGAATAATGGAGGACGGTTCCCGTGCCTAGGTTTCTTTTCATGGTCAAATACAGTTTATGAGAACCTTAAGTTTACCCTCGAACACACTGACTCCACGATAAATTTCCTAGATACAACAGTGTATATAGACCAACTAACCAGGGATCTGCATACGAAGGCATACTATAAACCGGCTAGCCTTCACACGTATCTGGAATTAGACTCGAGCCAACCACTAGCCTTGAAGAAATCGCTACCTTACTCACTTGGACTCACTCAAGCAGATTAATTAACAGCAAAGAGACGCTATATCCCCAGCTTGATGACCTATGGGATATGTTCAGGAACAGAGACTACCCAGAGACAATAATACATGCGGCCCAGGAGAAACTCGGAGAAAAAACAAGGGCGGAGCTACTCAGACCTAGAACACAAGTGGAAGACAAGAGATGTATCCTCCCAACCCTTTTCCCTGGCCTTGCAGCACAGCTTAAGATAAAACTCCAGGAAGTATGGACATGGATGAGGGAAACGTACAGTGAACATCCTTCCTGGGTAAAATTCCCACAAAACCCTTCTATGATCGCCTGGAGGCGAAGTAAGTCTATAAAGGACCACGTTGTTAGAGCAGCTGTGCAGGTAGATCATCTCAACCGAACTGGGGGAGAGGACCAGCCCCAGGGTACAGTTCAAAGAAATGAAACTTAGACCCTAACCTAACCTGACACAGGTTTGGTGTGCGACCTGCGTGGAGGCGGAGTATGCAGAGGGGTTTGGAGAGGCCTACATGTACAAGCTAAATCTGAAAAAAGAACCATTTGGTCACCATAGGATCTACCGACCAGTGTTCATCGACGACACTTTCATCTACAGTGCAGTTAATAATGGACATCGGTAAATCATCAGTTAATCATGGCGTTAGTGTTCATCACTTGAGATTATGCTGCATTTCTTTTTTGATGGAGACTGCAGTTATACGTTACATATATGGAAAATATGAGCCTCTAGATCAGGAAGAAAATGGGAATAATCAAATTCCATTTCACAAAGAAACCTTCAAAGAAAGAGCACTGAATAATGAAACGAAATTCAAGTCTGCCTTTAGAACTTCAAAGTCTGTTTTCGGAACATTTGAGAGCTAAAAAAAATTCTGCCCGCGCTGTCCAACTTAATAAATGAACCACCAGAGGTCGTGAAGGACGCAGACCCCATGCAGATGCTCATCATGCTTAAAGAAAAACGTTCGTCAGCTAAACACACACATTTAAGTCGTGAGATGACTTTTGAGATACCACCAGAGCTCAGAGAAAGGCGACTCCATCCAGCGGCTCAACTTCGTCGAGGACCAATATTTGAAAGAAAGACAAATGCTCACTCCATGACATGACTGTTGACATTCCGGACTTCATTAGTGATGAAGAATTAGGATGCATAGAGAAGTTGAAAGATGTAATACCCCATGCAGACAAATTCGTAAACAAACTAACAAGTAAAATACGTAAGTTTTACAACAATGACGAACACCTTACACAAGAAATGGCAATGAAGCTGATGTCACATAAATACACTACCGGTTTTCGAGGTCGCTCGTTAACTTCCATACAATTATTCGAATTCGTTTCTAAATATGTTGAAAACAACCGTAAATTATTTAAAATTGCGTAAATGTCAAGTGGTAATGTTTTTTTTTTTATAAATTGTTTACATTAAACAATGTTAACTATTTAATATAACCATGAAATAAAACCAATTTTAACAATGTATGACTGTCATTTTCCAAATTTACCATGTTATTTCATATCTTGCAGTGAAGTTGTGTGCTCTCGCCTCTTAATTCATGATGTGTTTTAGCATCGTGAGTTTCAGGTAAATAATGTATGAAGTCCCTTCTTAAAATTAAGCTTTCCTACCCAAGGATAGGTAGTCTTATTTGATATATACAGTAAAAAGGACGAAATGAAACAGAGAAGCTGAAGCAGCCATTGATCCATTGAGTCGTGGCAGTTTGCTTATATTGTTCTTATGAATAATAATATACAGTTTGAACTTATCACTGAATAATGATTACAGTCGTGGATGACTAAAATGTATATACTTAAACCTCTGATTAGGTTAGGTGGGGATGGCTAGTACAGCCATTTGAATAATATCTAATACAGTACATATGCAAGTAGGACGCCAACGCTGCATTGTCCATCTGGTGACGTCACACACAGTTGAACAGTAGGGTTGGTGTTGGTCTTAACACCTATTTGTTAATGGGAGCTAATACTCTATCCCTATAATAGGCAGCTTTTTGCGTCTTCGCTAAAACGAGTCTGTAGAAATGTATTTTGTTTGTTATATAATGAGTTAGGCTAGGATGGTTTGTTAGGGCTTATGAATTGAATAACAAAATGAGCGAAAAAATACGAGCCAAGGTACCAGAATATTGCCTGTGATGTCAGAGTACAGTTGAGGTATTGAGATATTAATAGGCTATTAATATCCCCACTTTATCATGACCAGTCACACCTCTATCATGTCGCCCCTATTTCTTTGCCTTTCTAGAAAATGTAATTTAAGTATTGTCAATCTTTCTTCAAGGATCGTTTATTGGGCATAGGGCAAATATAGGGCACTACTGTAAATAGTAGTGGAAGTTATGACTAAAACTGTGCATTTTGCTTTTTCCCATGCACGGTTTAGATACAGGGGGGGGGGGTCATTTTTTTCCCATGCACGGTTGTAGCTACAGGGGTGTTTTCAAATTTTTCTCCGGGCACACAGTTGTAGCCTCAGGAGTGTTTTCAATGTTTCCAACGGTTGCATCTAGCCCAGGGTATGTTTTTCAATTTTTATTCACTAGTGCCTCAATCTCCTAATATTTTCATTCATTTATCTTTCTCTATGGTCAAACATGTTATTTTCCAAAATGTGTGATAAAAAGGTACCCTACTAAATCCTGCCATTTTGTTCAATGGGATTAAAAGATCGGTTCCTGTCATAGCCGAATTTCGTTACCCCAGTGACCCGCCCACAGGCATCGCTAATGGTCAATGACGGCATCGGCTAGCTAGTCATCAATTTGCCTGGGGGTGGGATCTGGGTAACATAATTTAGGTATGCCGGCTCCTGGCATACCCAAGTTATGTTACCCCAGTGACCCATGCAAGGCATCGCTAATGGACAAATGACGTCATCAGCAGGCCAGTCTTCATCTTCCCTGTATAAGTCAGTTTACTGAAATAGCATATTTAAACCCATTTTCCTAATGTTTCCCATTTTCTAAGTTCATTCTATAGATAAGATCGCATATTAAACATAAGAAATGAAATTGCACAAGACTTTTGCTGGATCTCCTATTTATTAACAATTATGTCAACCAAAACATCAACTAACGCTATTAGATGAAGTGCAGTAGACCTATTCCCAATTATTACCCCCCTTTCCTCTCCATTTATGCATTCAATCACGCCACTGGCAATATTCAGGACCTATTAGCTCACTTTACTTATTTAAAGTGTCCAGTCAAGGATCGTTTGAGCATAGGAATGAATGAAACCCACCATCAACCATTGCATGTAGCAAAGGGGGGAGCAACACAGAGCATGAACTAATGTGTATCTTAGAGTTCGCCCCTGTTACCTGTATTTACCCAGGTCTTTTCCTAAATCTGAAACTTATCCAATTTATACCAATTGTTTCCTGTTCTGTCTCGTGTTTATAGTATTAATAGGCTAATAATATCCCCCCTTTATCATTCTAAAAAATTACACAAAATGTGTGGAACTCAAGCCAGAGGATAAAATAAGAAAAATCATTGTCCTCCACTATCCCTTGCATATGGCCCGTGACCATCTCGAAAAGCTGAACTATGTGGTGTCAGCAGAGAGATGTCGGGTTTCCTGCTTTGTGGTTTTAACCTGACAAGTCCTTCTTACAGTAAGAGGACGGATCCTGGAGAAACTTGACCTTGGAATCTAGGACGTGTTCCAACACAGGCCTTACACCCCAGAGCCCCTAAGATGCTTCAGATGTCAGAGATTTGGGTATCACAAAGATGGCTGGCAACGCCCAGTGAGGTGCGGAGTCTGCAGCCAGCACCACAACACAAAAATATGCATTGATAAACACAAGGCAAACACCCTGTCCAAGCAAAGTGCCCAAATTGCTCCGAAGCACATCACGCCTGGAACTGGAAATGCCCGAAAAGGCTCAAAAGGCTTCAAACGAAACCCACCACGCCTACAGCAGAGCCGAAGCCCCCACCAAAACTGGGGGCTTGCTCCCACCAGCTCCCCTGCCCACAAAAACTGCGTGGGGTCTACCTATTCTGGTAGAGGGGGCACACGGCTCTTCACCTTCAGCCATGGTGAAGGGTGTGAAGGCCTCAAAGACAAAGGGATAGCTGGAGGCCACAAGAAACATGTTCAAGGCAGTCGCCCTCCCATTGCATCCAGTAAGCACACTGGGGACAATAAAGATAAGAGTAACAATACCAGTGTCAAAGTGTCCACTGAGATGGGTCAAAAAGTAGCCAGGCCCCAAACCTGTACAAGAGTAATTAGTGCTCCCGCTCAACTGGACGCTCTCTGGCCAATGCTCAAAACTTTGGTCACGAAATTGGTTGAGAGTCTGTTGTCGATACACGATATCAAGCAAACCACAGAGACACGGAAGACAATTGAGCACAAGCTCATGAACTTCGAAAATATAATATCCTTGCCTTCAAGAACGCAGGGCAGGAGACACTCCCCTAAAAAACAGTCCAGCTCGTCTGAAAGCGACCTAGATGAATAAATTTCAGGTCCACTAAGATCCTCTACACCAATCACAACTTTCATGGCGTGTTCATCAGACTCCATGGATACCACGGTAATATCAGCAAATTCCAAGAACCTAGAGGTCTAAAGATCCTGCAATGGAATGCGCA